GATTTATCTAGTCATGCTTATTCCCGAATAACATACCCTAGTCGTGTCTATTCTTCCTCATCGCTGGGTCATTTCAAATTGGACCAGATTTGTGTGATCTGACATATTCTTCGTTATTCTTGCCTAATCCCACTTGATAGCTATCTATTGTTATAAAGTGGTATCGACTAGCGTTGAATTGGCTTGTCCAAACTCCATTAGGCTGTGATATACTGGCTTAACTAGGCTTTTTCTGAAAATAACCTGATTTCATGAGTGTCAGTCGGGATTGATCTGTATCAGTTACTATCGAGTGTTTTGCTATACGTATTTAGCATGCGCTATATAATTAACGTGTGTTGACCAAGCTTATCTAAGCTTATCGGTAAGGTAGCCGAAGAATCTCTTCACTGCGCATGGCTTAACGGAAAGCTTGACATCCTATCTGCAAAAGCAGCTTAGCGTAAGAGCAGATGCAACTATTGTGAGACAAGGATTCCTTAAAGAGCACGCTCACTGCCAGTGACAAAAAAAAATGGATGGCCACGTACTGGACGAATCAACAATAAACCCCGCATGTATTCATGCTGTCGGTCGGATGCCAGTGGTTGGGCTTCACAAGTGTGTTTCATATTGTTCTTAGCTAGGTGTCACGAGGGAAGCTAAACATCCGCTGGCCTTTCGCGTATGAACTAGCACACAGTGGCACATAGTAGCCTGTCATGGCGGCCAAAGAACGGATCCTAATACGTCCAGAACAGCATTTTTACAGCACCGTTTCCGCACTCGCCTCTGCGCGCACTTCTGAGTCAATGTGGCCGTCAGGTAGCATGGATTTTTTCAAAACATGGAAGAAGAAAACAACTGAGGAGATGCCCTGACGTCACTCATTGTGAAGCCGTGGTGAAGAGTAAAGTAGGCCATGCTGACTGGGCAAATTTCCCTCCCTTGTTTATATCCGAATGTGAAGCAGAAGGCATAACCCTCCCCCCACCGCAGTGGTCTAGTGGCTAAGGTACACGGCTGCTGACTCGCAGGTCGCCGGATCAAATCCCCGCTCCGGCAACTGCATTTTTGAACGAGGTGAAAATTCTGTAGACCTGTGTGCTCAGATTTGGGTGTGCGCTAAAGAAACCCAGGTGGTCGAAATTTCCGGAGCCCTCCACTACGGCGTCTCTCATTATCATATGGTGGTTTTGGGTTGTTAAACCCCATAAATCAATCAATCAGACGTGACTCTCTCTCTGGCTCGAAAAGCACGTGGGCGGCGTGGCACACGTGTCGTGGTGATTCGAAACCAACGGAACGGGGCTTAACACGTTAGGCCAGCGCGATACCATTGGTGAAATAATTTCGTCCGAGCAGTAAACAGCGAATAACAGCTCACCGACAAAGAAGAAAGCACAAGAAAACGCGTGCTAGATGGACCGACTGCGGCGAGTGTGGTGCTAGTGTTTTCACGACATTCCACGTACTGAACAGGCAACATGATAGGCCGTTCGCCGCTTTCTATGGTTGCATTCTGTCGCTCACGCGGCCGATGCAGCACCGGATGATTGTAACCATGTTCGACGTAAAATCTCACCACCGTCAGCATTTACAACCACGCTGGCCTTGTGCGCAATACCTGTGACACTCTAACGTGGTTGCTTAATGCCGAAGGTGCGAGCACAACAAGCAAAGCAGAAAAGGTGTTTTAATATGCACACGTAAGTTGTTGCTGTACACACATCGAACACAAAACTACATACGTGCACGTGACGCCCTGAGCACAGATGTTTCGTCCGTCGTAACAAGCAGGAACACTGCTCCATTTTCACTTGCCTGCAAGGCGTTCGTCGTGATTCCGTTTTGTCATGTTGCCCGAACATAATATCGCTGAGCATTCCGAATACTTCATCCGCCGCACGGCACATGGATGTAAGCGCTCGTTCTAAACACTGTTGAGGCCCCGTCAGAAGTGGCGTGCGAACAATACATTTTGTAAACGTTGCTGGGAGTGCAACAACCACCAGCAGAACACTGTGTAGCTAACAACGTGGCACAAAGCATGAATATTCTCCGCGGCGGGTCAGTAAAAGCGAGACGTTCGTCAGCGCACATGCCGCCACCATGCTGCCGCCGATAGACCAGCTGCACTGCATAACCCGTGACAATAGGAATGGTGCCATTGTGCCTAGTAGATATGGCCGCCATTGAGTCATTTCCTCCACACTTCTGCCGCAACACGCCGGCTGAGCATGGCCTCCCTTCTGATTATTTCCTACAAAAAATGTCTACACTCTGGAAGCGAAGGCGCGCACACATCGAGGCGCCCTAGGACAGGCAACACCATCTCTGGCAGAAAAATGAAAACTGGGGATGAAGTACGTCATGCGTTTTCCCTTGTCTCCGCCTCGCTGTCGTTCACTTCCGTGCACGTGCAGGGCTCTCACGCTTACTGGCACTGCGCTTGCAGCGCCGCTCAGTGCACCGCTTGAAAAAAATCTCCCAGCTGGACAGGCACTTCGAAAAGCGAACGTCAGGAAAGTTTGTTGTGCACGTTTAGGTTGTGCAGCAGACGACAAAAACGACGCCCGATAATTGATTGATTCTTTTGTGGGGTTTAACGTCCCAAAATCGCCATATGATTATGTGAGACGCCGTAGTGGAGGGCTCCGAAAATTTCGACCACCTGGCGTTCTTTAACGTGCACCCAAATCTGAGCACACGGGCCTACAACATTTCCGCCTCCATCGGAAATGCAGCCGCCGCAGCCGGGATTCGATCCCGCGACCTGTGGGTCAGCAGCCGAGTACCTTAGCACTAGACCACCGCGGCGGGGCACGACGCCCGATTTAACACGAAATGCATTTCAGAAGTCCGCGATTTTACCGTGTACGGTAGGTCGAGCTACGGAAGTTCGAGGTAGGCTTCCTCCCGTCATATTTTAAATATTACTAATGGTCAATATGCAGTGCGAACTGAAGCCACGCATGCGATAGATGCTTTATATTGACGGGAATGAAATACCCATGATTGTTGTTTTGGTGTGCATACTATAGCAGTAGCGTGCACAAACTTTCGCAGCGTGAAAAAAAAAAAGATGACTTGGTCATGACACTAAAACGCATGGTAAGGTTAGTGATGTCCTCCTACCACTGGAGTGTCACCGGCTGACCTATAGCTGCGAGGCACCTATCTTTAACCACGTCGAAACTGATTGAAGTGTTCACCTGGTTTTTTTTTTCTTTTTTTTCGATTCTCGCGTCCTGCTCGCACTACCATTTCATGAGAATATCGGCCGTACCAGTGCATAAGGCCTGGCGCGCGAATGCGGATCAGCGTGAGAGTTGCTGAATTTCAGGTACGATGTATTATAGGGCAAGCGACGAGCACGCGCGATTAGCGCCCACCTAAACGCACACTCGAATCACTGTATACAGATCGTAACATTCAGACACGCAGCGCACGTGAAAAAAAAAAAACCCACACATATCTGAATATGACAATTATAATTCATGTACTCTGTGCCGTTTACATTTAGTGGCTCGAAAAAAATATCACACCAATGAAGCGACAAATATTGAACAAAACTGCAAAGTAATGTCAAAGATTGCTGAGAGTGCACAGATGTTCGTTCCGCTGCGATGATGCGGTCTTCTCGACGCATAATTGGCAGGTGCCGAATTTTCGACAATGTGCGTAGTTAATTTGAAAGCAACCAACAGCGCAACGAGAACTTTTGTATAACGTACGCGATTGTGAACATCCAACAATTACAGCACGTCTCACACAAAAAAAGGAAATCAATATACAATGTTGTTTCAACATACAACGGTAACGGGACAAGGTGGCAGCGAGCAATCAATACGGCAGTCGCTGCATAGACGTGTGGCATTACGCTCTAAATCTGGTAGTCCAAATAGATTATTTCAAGCCAAAGTAAAGCGAAGTAAAGATGTGTCTTGATAACAATGAAAAAGAGGTTTTTGTGTTCAATATCGGCTCTTCCTTAAACTACAGCCGGTGTTAACTCACGCTTCCTATAGCACCATTGCTTTTAACTGACAATGTCTTGCTCTCTCATCGCCATGTCGAGCTGGCGAGTCTTGTTAGACGTCGAAAAATCACGCTATAACTTCCCTAACAGCTAGGGTGAAAACTTCCTCTTTGTTGATGCCATAAGCTAGCAACCTTAGCAGCGGACAAGCTACAAAATTTGAGGGCACTGTAGACTGTATAAGATTGTCAGTTAGACGACTGCTTGTTTTTATTGCAATAGCAATTATAACGACACTCTCAGCTGGATTTTGCCGCTGGCTAAGGCGTGGGCGTTGGCGTCGATGTCATGCACCGTACATGTATACGTATCTATATATATGAAAACGCAAGAAAAAAAATAGCCGAAAAAAAAAGAGTCCGCCGCGCGGAATCACACGTGAGACCTACGCGTCGTGAATGCGAGGTTTTAACCACTGAGTCACTGAAAGGTACCTCCTTCAACTCTCAAACGGCAAGCTATTCATATCTACCACTTACCGCTGTTGGCGGGCATCTCGTGGGGGGAAGGGGGCTATCGTGTTTTTAGCATAATCAGCAAGATTGCGCAGTGAGCGCGCGGCGGCTCTCATCTCTCACGCGTACTTTGGCCCGCGTAGAGAATAAGGGGGTGTACAATCGATCGCGCGCCCTTATCTTGCAGTGGGGAGAATCGTACGTCTTGGCTAGCCTTTGCGTTTTGTCGAACGATTCTGTTGTAGTTCAGTGCAATCGTTCCACAGTCTCCATTTGCGAAAAGGGCACGCATTTCAGGCACAGCGAAGTAACAACTGAGACGCTTATTCGCGTTAATCTGTACCTGTGAATACGTTTCGTGCGTCCTTTGTGCTAGAAACGTGGGAAACGTTTCCATCTGCTTGCCATTCTGCACGTGACCTTCCTGTTTGTTGCTATCGCGTTCATTCCTTTGCCTTCGCGGCAAAGCTGTGACTTTTTTTACTATAGAAAACTAATTACCGATTGCATTTTTTTTGTTACAGTGCCGGGTGAATGATGATGACTCTAAAACGTCTTGCAAACCACCTTGTACTTGCCAAGCCAAAATGGGTCAGGATGGTTTTCCGCTATACGGAGAAGGGCAGTGTGTAAATTATTACTATAGGCTCACTACATAATTGTCAATCACAAAAAATCAATTTACATTTGTGAACGAAATAAACATTCTTTATTAGCATAATATTCACTCTGGCGTGTGTTTGCCACCACCATCGGTGTTAGCGTGATAGGTATTTCGCATAAAGTCTAAACCGAACATCATCCCACACGTCGTATATGCTCCATGCGTGAGCGAAAGCGTGCGAACCCTGCCAAACATCGCGGCTATGATAGAAGGCATGGGCGATAACCTCGTAGCCCTATTATATTGAAGCTCTGTCATCAGTTATGTCAAGACTGACGTGCCGGTGACGTTCACCAGCGCCCACTAGCGCCCGAAAAGCACCTGCTCCACCAGTGCACTTTGGCGTCGCCTTCTTCGTTTTTTGCAGGGCGTCTCTCTCGCAGCATTCTCATAAATGTAAGCGCGCCAGCGGTCTTTGTGAAGCAAAAGTTGGTGGAGGAGGCAGCGTTATTCCGGCAGGAAGTGCATGCCTGTGAAAGCCGGACCTAGATGTTGGTGGCCACGCCCTTCATATCTTTCCAATGCATCAAGTGAGAGCTTCGTATAGGTTTAGGCAGAATGCATAGGCCAAAGCTGAACACAGGACCAGAAGAAAACGGGACCAGCATGGTGTTGAAGCTTATTCATTGGGTTTCGCTGAAGAAAATGCCATGAACTAAATCAATGTGTGACTGCATGGTCTTGATGGAAAACGGGTAGAACCGTTTCTTTTGGAGATTCCACAGGCGTTAAGGTGTTTTTAAGTTCACGTGTCAACAAAAGGATTACTTGATTTTTTGTTGATATCGACGATTTACGTTACTTACAGCCGAACGATAGTCTATTGTCCTGCGCAGAAGCATATTTTGAAGAGCATGTGGCCAGCGTAGTCGATATTTAGAATGCTTCAGGGGTGAGATTGTATTTTAGATCTTTTATCGTTTTACTTCAAGTCCAGCTGTGTTTGCTTTGACAATAACATATAAATGCAAACGTAAGGTGCCTAGAACCATTTATGCACGATACCTATTTTAACTTATTTGCTTTTAACCAAATGCGACTACAGTGCGAAAACTCCGAGTGACATCGGAGTTTCGAAATCATATCACTATGTTGACAGCTTTTTTTGAAATAAATTCGAACAGATGTGCTCTGGACCCTGCTCTAATTACACGTGCCGGTTCATCGGAAGGTATAAATAACCTTTCAGGATGCACTTGGTTCACTTTCGTTGCGTGTTCTTAACCTCTGAAATACCCGAGGATGACATTATTACTCATCGGGCTTTTGATTGTGTGTGGTGTCTAATAACGATCAAATTGGTTGGATGTATGGGCCTTGAGCTAACAAACCGCTTTTAGGTTTAACTCCACTCATTCGAAGTTTATATGAATAGAGCCTTTTCGTTTGAGAGAGACGCCGTATTTCATGCAATCATATGTACGAAGAGAGCCAGCCGAGGCACATTGCTCGTCTTGAGTTCGCTGAGTATCCGAGGCACGTGACAGTCTCGGTGGCAGAATGTATGCATCGAAGAAGAAAAGCAGCGTGACAGGCCAGGTTGAAGCAAGACGAAAATAAGGCTGCAATACCTTATGCACAAAAAGTGTCGTAATAGTGTATGGAACTGTCGCTCCGGCACAGCTGAAATGGCATCCAAAAGGTTGAAGATGACAACATGGCTGTTGTGGGTTGGACTCTGGTGTCCCGTTGGCCTGCATGACTGTGCGCTCTTGAAGGCGTTAGCAAGAACCGCTGTTGGTAAATAGGTTTTCCCCGCGACATCGTTTGGTGGAAGGTGCGGGGTCTTCACACAAGCCGGCTCTGGAACTCCGCAGTGGACGCCAGCTTTGTCCAGCCGCAATGCCTGAAACCAGCACTCAGGCCTCGTCATCTGTGCCGGCTCCATCACCTGTGATTCCCCCCCCCCTCTTCTTGACCCTGGCATGTTTTCCGGGACGGACAGCACGGACGTCGAAGAATGGCTCGCATTATTCGAGCGCGTCAGCGAGCACTACAGGTGGGATGAGACGCTTATGCTGGCAAATATTCTATTCTACCTACGGGGTACGGCACGCGCTTGGTATGAAACGCATGAAGAAGAATTAACCAGCTGGGACACATGCCATCAAAAGCTTCGCGACTTGTTTGGTTGGTCAGTTGCTCGTCAGATGGCAGCCAGGCAGGAACTCGCGTCACGTGTTCAATCATCGACGGAGTCGTACGTCACGTACATCCAAGACGTACTGGCACCCTGCTGGAAGGCTGACAAGGACATGTCCGAGGCGGGCAAGATCAATAACGTGTTGAAAGGTATTGCTGACGATGCTTTAACATACTAATGTGTAAGAACTGTACCACTGTCGACTCCATCATATCTGAATGCCAAAGATTTGAACAGGCTAAAAGCAGGCGAATAACACATCCCTTCACGAGACTACCAAACACCGCTGCGACTTCGTCTTGCGAGGATTCTGCATCACCCCGTTCACTCGCGCCTCCTGACAATATCACAAGGATTGTTCGGCAGGAGCTGGACGCCATGGCACCCGCTTCCTATCAGCCTCCTGCGCAGACAACTGGGCAACAGTCTCGCTTATTCAAGCTGTCGTACGTCAAGAGCTTGCTAACCTGGGAGTTCAGGTTCCCCAGCCCGCCAGGCACATGCCGCAGCCCATGAGCCATCCCGTCCACAACGCTGACCACCACTCTGCTCCACTTGTCGCTGCGGCAGCTTCGACTCCTCGGTTTCCACCACGCTACCGAAATCCATCTGAGTGGCGCACGCACAATGAACGACCCATCTGCTTTTCATGCTCTCGAGTTGGGCACATCCCCCGCCGTAGCCGCAACAGGTGGTATTTCCGGCCAAGCTTTCCTAATGTCGACCGCCTTCAGGACCGTGGACACTATTCGCAACCTGCTTTTCGGGATGACCATCTTCTGGACCCTTCACCTCGCCATTCATCTCCACGCTCCGAACCATCCTACGCTGACGTTGTTGCCCAAAGAAACTGGCTTAGCCGCTCGCCGTCACCTCAGGGTCGGCCGTCACGCTCCCCTCAACACCGCCGCTCTCCGTCACCGGCTCATTCTGGTCATCCCCCGGAAACTGACGAGTGCCGCTCCCGGAGGTGGCGCTGTGTTGACTACTCCAAACGAAAACCCTCAACCGGCTACAAATTCAAGACGCAATTTACTTCGAGTGTTCCTTGATGGCCTCGCCGTTACTGCTCTAATTGACACTGGTGCCCAAGTATCTGTAGTGAGTTATACACTTCAATCTCGCCTGAAAAAGGTTCTCACACCTGCTTTGTTCTCTACTGCTCAAGTGGCCAACGCAAGTCGAACATCGGTGCTTGGCGTTTGCACTGCCCGCGTTACTATTGCTGGCCACCACAATTCCGTTCTCTTCTCCATGCTTGCCCACATGACGTCATCCTTGGAATTGATTTTTTAACCGCACACTCCGCCCTCATCTATTGCTCCACTGGTATCTTATGGCTCGAATTGTCTTTGTGCACCGATTTCACTCCTCCAAGTCACACTCGGCTACGATCCGCGGAGTCTCTACGGCTACCGCCCAGGCTGCTATGTACATTCCTTTGTTGCCCTTTCCATCCGTTCCTTATGAAGACTATCTGGTAGCTCCCCTGATTGATTTGACCCTTACGCACCACATCACACTACCGCATACTATAGTGATTGTTGCTAACAACACGGCACTACTTCCTGTTCTGAACTTCTCTACATCGACCCAAGTTCTTCCCCAAGGCATCACTTTAGTCAATATTTCCACTCTGGATGAATATTCAATTTGTTCTTTCACCCCTGACACTAAGACCGTGGTGAAACCGGTCATCACTCCGCAATATAAGGCATTCCTCTAGAAAATGATATCCGACCACCTCTTGCCTTCCCAAGTTGCAGGGCTCCGGGGTGTTCTGTTTTCTTACCTGGATATCTCTGACATCGACAACCATCCCCTGGGCCGCACAAAGGTTGTAGCCCACCGCATCGAGACCGGCGGCATCAGTCCACTTCACAGGCCCTTACTGCGTGTCACATGCTAAGCGCCAAGTTATACAGACAGAGGTCGAGAAAATGCTCAGCAAAGACGTCATTGAGCCTTCATCGAGTCCTTAGGCATCCCCTGTAGTCTTAGTTAAAAAGAAGGACAACACCTGGCGCTTTTGCGTCGACTATTGCCACCTGAATCGGATCACCAAGAAGGACGTTTATCCTCTACCCCGAATCAATGATGCGCTCGACTGCCTCCACGGCGCCAACTATTTCTCGTCCCTTGACCTTTCATCCGAATACTGGCAAATTTCGGTCGACAACTGTGACCGCGAGGAGACAGCATTCATCACACCTGACGGCCTTTACCAATAAAAGGTCATGACTTTTGTGTTGTGAAATGCCCTGCTACTTTCGAACGTATGATGGACTCTCTTCCCCGCAGTTTCAAATAGTCGACCTGCCTTTGCTATCTGGACGATGTAATCGTTTTCTCACCCTCCTTCTAAAGCCACCTGTCTCGTCTCTCGGCAATTCTTGACGTTTTTCGTTGCGCTGGTCTCCAACTGAATTCGTTGAAATGCTCATTTGGACGCCGGCATATTAAACTACTCCGCCACCTTGTTGACTCCACTGGTGTTCAACCCGACCCTGACAAAGTCCGTGCAGTCCGAGAATTCCCGGTCCTGCGTTCCACACAAGAAGTTCGCAGTTTTATTGGGGTCTGCTCATACTTCCGCAGCTTTGTCTTCAACTTCGCGGATGTTGCTAGGCCCCTCACAGATATCCTTAAAAAGAATTCGGCCTTTTCTTAGGGAAAGGACCAAGAACATTTCTTCGCGTCGCTGATTACCGCCCTCACATCACCACCTGCATGTGTTGACTCATTTTCATCCAGGCGCTCGAACGGAGCTTCGCACCGATGCAAGCGACCATCGCATTGGTGCTATACTCGCTCAGATACAGAATGGTACCAACCGTGTGATAGCCTACGCTAGTCACCTTCTGTCACAAGCGGAAAAAAATCATTCCATCACTGAGCGGGAATGCTTAGC